ACAAAAATCATGACTATCTAAGGACTCCCAGGTGCAACAGAGACTTCAAGGCAGCAACTGTTTCATCAATCTCCTAATTTGAGCATTGATTTGAGCAAGCAGCAGAAACTCATCGCTTAAGAAAGTGCAACCAGCACAGCCAAGAAACAGCCACTATAGATGTCATGTACCAAATCCAAACAAGATTTCCTGAATTTAGAAAGCTCAGCAGTGACACATTTTAATCACTTCATGAGCACTCTGTTTTATTTCAGCAGTGCTGGGGGAAAAAAACCCAACCCAAAATGCAGCAACCTGCAGAACTGAAACTGAAACCCAGAGGAACTCCCCAGCCCCAGCTCCCAGGTGCCTTCCCTGCCTGTAGCCCAGCTGCACGGAGGCTGTGTCTTCCCTCACTTCACCAAGGTTTCCTTTGCAAGGAAAGCTGAGAATAAAATCAGGACAACATGGAGAACTCCACTCCAACACTGTAGAAACAGCTGATGGGACCTAAAGTCACCAAGGGTCATTGTGAAGGTCATGGTATCAGCTGCTAAGCAAAGCTCTCACTTTCTAGTTATCAGCTGCCTATAGGGTTTTGGGTTTTTTTTGTGTTTGGGCCTAAAGCCTGATTTCTCCTCAGTCTAGCTGTGAGAAAGAATACTTATGTACATTTCTTTAGAAAACTATTTAGAGCACATTTGTTCAAACTTTTTCTTTAATTGGTACTTTTTAACTCTTACAAATTTTCAAGCCACCCTCTTAATGTAAAATTTATTCTTTTTTTATGACAGTGTTTACCCCTTGCTTATTAATTCCTTTGTACAAAAACTTCCACCAATTTAAATGGTTACCAACGTACTCAGGTAATGGTAGGGGCTGGTGCCTGCAGACTGTTTCTACTGCTAACTGTACCATATGCATTTTTCTCTGAAACTGGAAGCTGGAATGTAAACACACATGTATAAGTTCATGATTTTGAGTAATTTTTACGCATCTGACCATGTCCAATGATTTTCAGCCTGGCATCTGTAGATTTCTGGATTTATCCTTAGTATACCTTAAAGCTGGCATACAGACTCATGCACATCCACTGGAAACTCTCAGCTCTCAGGAGATGGCAAGAAAAAGATGAAAATAGCCATTTTGGTGACTTTGAGCTTCCTGGCCACTTTAAGGCAGCATCATAAATGGTGCTGCTCAGAGAAGTGGTCTGACTCCCCTCTCCACCCTCGCTGCAGCCATCGTGCCTGGGGACTGATCCCTGCAGGATTTGATGAGCAGGAGCAGTCTCACAAAGGAGACTGTTGTCCCAGGTAAAATCCTGGGAAAATTTCCATAGATTTTAATGGCCTCGAAGTCAGCTCATATGTAGGTAAAGAGCAGGTTTCTCTACAGTGGTAATATGTCTTCTGATACCAATAGCCTTTAAGGTCACAGAATGCAACATAGAAGGAAGTCAGGGCATGTGTTCATTGGAGGTACTTGTAAAAGTTTACTTGCATTTTTACTCTTCTGTTAGTTAAAGTATGATACTTAGTTTGATCATCAAGTCATTTAAAAACTGAGAAAGGCAGGAAGAGAAGATCCTTGGAAAATAAAAATACATACACAGTAGCTGCTAAAACACTCCTCAGAGGGTGAAAGTGGCATAAAATCTCTTGTGTTGGACCTCAACGTACGGTAAAATAAAAGAAATCATCACTCCTAGAAGTGGCTTTCACTAATAATGTGTTAGTCCTTAAAGTGCACTTTATGGATAAGGCTTTTTAAAACAAGCTTTTAAGTTTCGAGCTGCAAACCTAAAGAGGTTGCCTGCCATTTAACAATGATCAGCCCTCAGAAGTTCCCAGTGAATTATCTATTTCTGAAAATATTGTTTTCAGAATAATACTGGACATTTCTTTGTTTGCATATGACTTCAAGGTATTATCTTCATCCTGTATGCGGAGAGACCTTGAACTGAAATTCTCCGCTTTTAAACAGATTTGGGAGTTCCTGACCACCAAACTGGTAAGGGTGAGTTATACCTCTGAGACTCAAGGTCATGCCAAACACCTGCAGGTGAGAAAGACATTGCTTTGCCAAGGGTCAGGGTGTTTTTCTTGTCCCTGTGCTCCAGCTCCCAGGGGGATCTGCCAGACGTTCACAGTGAGGTCCCCTCACTGAACGCCGGCACGTCGCGTTGCTCCACACCGAAGCACACAACACAGTGTCCATCATGCGGCCTCCCCGTGTGGAGTCACCTCCCAGGCGGCTGGAAAGCACGGGCACAGAGTGGGAGGAGAACGTGAACTGGATTTTATTATATTCCAGTTTAGTAGGAAAGGCAAGGAACTAGCCATGAAAACAAAAAATGGGGGCCTGTTCCAGGAGACAGTAAAGGAGAGACTGAGCTAACGTGTTTGCGGGAGAGAGAAAAAAAAACAGAAGGAGAATCTAGTCCTCAGCATGAGAGAGAAGATGGGAAATTCAAAGCTGCAAGTTAGAGAAATGAGGAATCAGTAGCTGTGTTCACTTGCTTAATCTGCAGTACCCCTATAGAAATTAAGTTAAGTTGCGTAAGCTGTAAGGGTTAAATACTTCGTTTTCAAATATTTCTCACAATTTACCCATGACTCCCACAGAAATGTATATGTTAGCCTGAGAAAAACTGATGTGTCTAAGGCTTGGAAAGGAAAGAGGAATTGTGATGAGATTTGACGTCCTGAAGGGCTTGTTCTCTGATCAGGAAAGAAATGAAGTGTTGCATTTTAAAAGAGATTTTCAACTGAAAATTTTAATTGGACCTCACTTTTAAAGTGTTTCAAATCCTCTCTGGGTACAATATAGTGCACACACAAAAAAAGCCTGTGATATTTTGATGTTTGCTTATCTACATGCTGTCCCAAATTATGACAGAACATGGTGTAAATTATGAATAGCACGTGGGTGCTCCGCTGTTGCACTGCAGGAGATGCGGTTAGAAGATTTTAGAGTTCAGCATTCTGTGTCTGTCACAAAACAGTGACAAGCTGAGCCAAAGGAAAGTATCTGAATGTATGTCTGCAATTTATTTCTGCACAAGCCATGGCTTGGTCTTCCGTGGCGGCATTTCCTCTCTGTCTTCATGCTTTTACAAAAGCGTAAGTGAAAGAGACAGAGTAGAAAGTGCAGCTGCAGTAACTTCATTGGCAAAATGGGTTTGATCCATGTTGCTAGTGTATTGAAAACAGTAGAAGCTACAGGTTTCCAACAGGAATCTGCAAGTAGTATTTTTCTTCTTATATTACTGTTGTTAAGTGCCCAAGCTATCAGAGTTTGCATTGATCATCTAAAGAGAAACCATGCTTTATCTTCTTTAACAATGATCCTTGCTCAGAAGGATAAACCGAACGGATATTGGTTTTCCTCCTTTTGAGTCCCAGAACAGTATCCTTTAGAGGTCACTTTGTTGTTGTTTCAAATGTGTGATTAAAATATTCTTATTCCCGGGTGACAAATGTTTGAGATGGGAGGAGAGAGAGAGAGAGAGAGAGAGAGGCAAGCATGTAGCTCCTGGTAGAGTAAGTTTGCAGATGAAAGGGAATGATTTGAGATAACAATAAATGACAGCTGTTAAAGAAAGAATTACTGATACCAAGAGAGAAAACATTAAATTGCATCTATTTAAACAATTATTAATTAAACTGTCTATTTCTGCATAGTATAATATGACTATTACTAAATTCACACAATTTATGCAGGTAAGCATGCCCATTTAAAGTGGGGGCTGCTTTGTGGACAAGAGAGGATCTCAGCTCCTGAAAAAAAAAAAGGTGTCTGCCAAAAGCCTCTGTGAGTCACAGTCCCTCTGGGCCTCAGTTTCCTCCTCTGTAAAATAAGTAGGATAACCTGATTTTTTTTCCCCCCAATGAGCTGTTATATTATTGCATCCTTTTTGTAAATCCAGTAGAAGGATACAAAATGTTCTAATGTGCTTGGGCTTGTTGTTCTGAGCACTTTCTATTTTGAATCCTTATGCAATTTTAGATGGGAGGCAGAAGTGGGTCATTCCCTAGTGATCTTATTATGGAAGTCTTTCCCTTATGTAAGGACCTCTAATTCTGCTGCCGCACTTTTCCCTTATTGGTGACAGATTTGGCCAGCGCTTTTTTATCAGTATGCATTTATTTTAACATGTCACAGTGGCTTCTGCCCACAGGCTATTACCTTGAACTGTAAAATAACTTTTATTAGTATTTAAGTAAAATAGAAGGTCCTGTCACCAAAGACATAGTGGTAGCACAAAACATCAGGAACTCTGACCAAAGAAACCAAACCTAATTAATCAGAGGCTGCAGCTCAACCCAGTTCGCTGTTCAGCAGCAGTTTTGATTAGTAGGGTTAGAGGCAAAGTAGACCTTTTTCTTCAGTGCTTAAAAAGAGAAGAAAAGAAAATGCATGTATACTTTTGACACAGGCTGGTGCATATATTGCGGATTACTTTTGTTTAGGCTGGGTGTCCTTGAGTCGCAGAACAACTTTAATGACCATTAGCCACTCTCAGTGATTAAGTAAATGAACTCAAGAAAATGAACTGCTGGGTACATTCCCAAACACTCGGTACAGTTCATTGAAACTGATCAGTTTAAACAAGCAGTAAATTGAGATTCACTTCAACCTCTACCTTCTTGGTGAATACAATTAGGGAAGACACTCCCTAGCTTATGGAGAAGTGAAGCCGGCTTTCAGTACTGACAGAAAGTGAAAATCTTTAACGCATCAGTGTTGGTAATTTACATTCAGTGTCGGGAATAAAAATCCCAAAGACATGGGTGTCTTCTGGAACTCCAGAGAGCAGCACGTACATCAGCTCAGCAATCACTGCTGTTGATGTGCTGTATGAGGAATGCATATTCAAGTCAGTGCCTAATGCAGTGAGAAATAAAAATTGCAGTTGTTAACGCATTTTGAACTGAAATGAATTTTGGGCTTTGGTGGAGAGAAATAAAAGACAGGCATACTTAGAAAGTAGGAAATGTACTAAGAAGCTGCCTTACCTCCATCTAGTTCTTCAGCTCCAAAATGATTCCTGTAGAAGAGCATAATCTCTATCTTGTAACACTTGTAGATAGTCACTAAACAAACAAGCAGCAGTAGAATAGCACCAAGCCCACCAGCAAGCTCAACTGTGTACATCAGCTCTGCAAAGAATTACAAAACGCAATAACAACCACATTCCAAACCGGAGAAAGATTAGCAGCAGACCTTGCAGTTATGTTAAACATTAAAATAAAATAATGAATGATGGGTTATTTATGTATTTATTTTGGTTTAGGGCCCTGGAAGAAATACCTAATTAATCGATCTTTTTTTCCTTTCATAAACTAGCTCTTCCTCTGGTACACCACCTGAATTACTCATTTAAAAATAACAATTGCTGGGGATGTGTGTGTATGAGTATGTGCATATATATAAGAGATATTTGATAATTCTCTGCTTTCTCTCTCTCTGTAGATAGATCACAGTTTGCTTTACACAGGTAAATGTTGACATTCTACTTACAATGAAAGCAGAGGTGAATGTTTCTTTTTTGGGGACTGTAATGCAAACACAGGTCCTCCCTTATTCCACACACAAATAAGATGAGTTTCAGTCTACTGGACTAGATTAGACTAAGGATTTGATTTTTTTTTTTTTAACAAAATAAAAATAACAATTTTTTAAAAACCCCAAAACTTGGAAGATGTGAAGACAAATTATCCAAGGAACCCCACAACATCACATCTCAGTTGTGTGTTAATATCTTTGACACAGTTTCCCAATGATCTGCAGTTCATCTTTTATTCTCCCCTTTCCCCCAGTGGGGTTGTCTTATGTGTAGTCACAGCAAATCATCCCAACTTGTCTGTCCTGACATTCCCGTTCAGACCGTGACCCCCTGGTGTCTTTGCCGCATTCTGCCACGGGTGACTGACGTGATGGATTGAGATCGTCGCCACGTAGCTTCATTCCTGAGGATGGGGGCTCTGGTCAAATGTGGCCACAGCTGTCTATCACTAACGGTACCCTCCGTGGGGCCGCTTATCAGTGCATAAATAATATGCCATCATGGACTTTCACCTCCCCCAGTCTTAATCATTGCACGCACAAGGAAGCTCACGCAGCTTTGTGGCATCCGTTTTGTTGTTACTTTTCATTTGCTTATTGACTGAAAACTGGCAATGTTAAAAAAAAAAAAAAAAGAGTGTGGGAGGAGGAAGAGCATTACTAACAATTTTGTAATTTGAAATGAGTAATAGATGGCAAATCTTAAGACCACCCATACTTTTCCAATATCATTCAGTTTTGAGGAATGCCAAGAAATCAGATCTTGGAAATCTAAGATATACAGTTTGCTTCATAAAAATCTGTGCTGGAGAAAGCTCAGTTCTGTGCTATTTTCACAGCATCCTCTTCCAGTGGGCAGCTTCTGTCTGAGTGAAGCAGGGTAGCCCTGAAGTAACCTTTTGTGTGTGTGTGTGTGTGTGGTTATGCAGATATGATACTCCAGCACAATTCAATTCAATTAGAGAAATAAAAGGTTAGAGGAAAAAGTGACAATTCCATTTATTTTGACTGCGTCTACTGAGAATCACACACTTCTTTTATTATTTTGAGGCAACTGTAAGGAGATTTCATTGCTCTCTAGAAGACACTAAAAGTGTAATAAAATAAAATAAAAAGGCATTTATATTCCATGTCATTCTCTCCAAAACTGTGCTGGAAACTCCTTTGTGTTAGATATTTTTAAGACCTACATGGTTATTTCAGATTTTCAATACTTTTCTGGTCCAGAGAGGGGAATGTTATTAAAAACACCCAACAAAAAATTGTTTGCATGCACAAGTAATACAGCATTTTGGAATATAAATGGAAATGGAAATTACTCTGCACTGGCTTACTATACCCTGTTTATCATTTTGTACTACAGGTGATGCAGCTGTTCAATGGTAACTAGAAGAAAGGTTTTAATATTTCAGGTTGCTAGGCACAAAATATTCTATTTATGTTCCTGCTGTTATGACTCATTAAAGGCAAGGAAAAACTTTACAACTGGAAAACAAAAGTTTTTCCTAAATTAATGATTTTGAGATTAAATGGAAAAAATAACTGCAGGTAGTCATCTGTTCTCTGTCACCGCGCATGAAATCAGACTAACGCGCTGCATCACTTTTGCCGTCAGAGAGTCGCCCTTAGTTATCTTTTTCCCGATGAAATAATTCAAGATTATGCCTATATTATTACTTCAGTAAAATCTATCTGAACACAGATAAGCCTGCCCTAAATTAGGCAACCAAAGCAAACAATAAAATTGTCTAAGTCACCCTGACTAGAAATTACCTTTTCATGCTCTGCTGCTGAAC